CCCCGGCCGCCTCGCCACCTCAATGCATATCATACTGTAATATATAATATTACTACGTGATACAAAGTCTAAGTTATTCTAAAATAGTTAAAAACTCACGCATAGTATGATTACTTTCTCTCTCACTTAAAATACTACATAATACTATGAAAAGAAAGCGTAAATAATACAATTGAATTCATTCCATAGTAATTAAAATATCACGACCACACGCTCGCACAAAACAACACGAAACATAAAATACATTTCAAATTTTTTGTGATGTTCAATGACTGTAGAATCTTATCGTAAATCATTTTCTACCATAATTACTCGTAGTTGTAACGATTGAAAAAGATTATCCCGATCATTTGATCCCGATTATGTGATCTCACATACACTGGCGAAACTGACATTCATTTCGGGTCTTTATGAGGAAAGCAATCCACATTTTTCAGTAATTATTCATAGCATTTTGTTGAACAATCGTTTTAAATGTTTGTATTGATATAGTTTGCATGTTGAGTTTTGTAGCTCAGCTTTGGTGTGTGACTAACCTTATGATATGACTGCAGTTAATTAAAGCGCAGGAGAGAAGCAAAACATTTAGCACGTACACAATGTCATCGGTTTTCACAACAAAACATTGGAAGTTTTATATTTTTATTCTTCATTGTTTATTCTTACAAACCTAGCTGCAGCAACAGTTCATGAGATCGCAATATTTATCTAGGTTCTAGTGTGAATAGATTTTCGTATAGTCAAAGATTAAAAAGTGTAAACCCATACAATAGTTAAGATAAATTTTAGTTAAAGTTTCATTAAAAATAAAAAGTAGTTATCAAACGCAACAAATGTTATTCGTAATTGGTAACGTTAGTAGAGCATAAATCGTATTCAGTATGAAACAGAGCACGTAGGTTAAGCTTACGCAAGATGTGCTAACCGCCGCACGTCGCACGCCGCCCGCCGCCCGCCCGCTAGCTGGCCGGCGATATTTTGGGCCCGGTCGAGTTGCGCCCTATTCTGGCTGCCGCCTCCCGCCGCGCCGAGCTCATGCTGTTATCACTGAATATATTACCAAAACATACACAAAATGCAAAATGTATGATTGTTTTTAAAGCTATCTCAATGTAGTAGGTAACTTAACGTGATATGTGTATTGTTGCAGAAGTAATGCGGCGCACGGGCAGCGGCCCCGCCAGCCCCGCACCACTCGACCCCGCGCCGCACAGGTACGAGCGCAAGCCGGCGCTACCTCCCATATCAAATGCCGACACAAACACAAACTGCTCCGGCAAATAGACTGACAATGATTTTTTTGTGTTTCCAGAACGTCAGAAAATAAAGAATTACTGAGACAGCAGTTGCTTTCGGCGAGCAAAGAGCGAGCGGACAGGCAGGAGCGCGCCAAGCCCAAGCACTCGCGAAATCGTCAGAAGAACAGATGGAAACTCAAGTTCCACCACCAGGCGCTGCCGCAAGAGTACCTCGACCACTACGAGCAGAGCCTGCAGAAGGCCAGCGCCAAGCAGCACAGGAAGCCGCCCGAGAAGCCAAAGGTGGAGCCTAACATTGAAATTAACAACTTTACCAACGAAACTTTCAAGATTTGGGCGCAGCGCCTCGCGGAAATTCAAAACGAGACCGGATCCCAGCCCGTACCGCAGATGCCGTCTGTCCTCAGCATGGCGGCCAAGCCCAAACATGAGGACAAGAAGAAGAAGAACCCCGCCATCGCCCCGAGCAAAATCATGACGTACGAGGATTTACCTTACATGGGCGAGATGACCCTCAACAATTCTAAGCCGAGGCGTGGCAGGAAGCCTAAAAAGGCGGACATCTGCCACCTCATATACGAAAATTACGGCACTGTGGTGCCCGGCCAGCCGCCGCCGCAGGACCGCCCGATCCCGCTCGGCGCGAGCCCCGCCCTCCGCGGCGCGGAGCCCTCGCCGACCACGTCCAAGACGGACCTCCAGAACAAGATCATCTCAAACCTCCTGGAACGCAAGTTGTCCCAAGAAAACAGAAGGAGACTCGAAATCCTGTCGCCCCCGAGGTTCTGCAGCCCCGACGAGCCGATGCCGGAGGCGCCGCGCACCGCAGCGGGGCCCCTGCACAGCGACGACGAGCCCCTCAACCTCTGCATCAGGGACCTGCACGACCTCAAGATACAGATACAGAAGAAATTCGGTAACATTTACTCTTCGCTGCCCGAAGTGAAAGTGGAGGCCGACGCCGAGACGTGCGAGCGAGTCGACCTCAAGACCGAGCAGCCCAATGCCATCTCGGTCATCCAGAGGAACACGAACATCGCGCCCGCCACGGCCAGCAGCTCGCCGGACCTGTCGCGGCAGACGAGGGTCGCCTCGCCCGCGCTGTCCGAGCCGGCGCAGAGCACGCCCGGCGGAGACGGGGACGACAAGTTCCCCAGCTACGTGTACTGGCCCAACGCCGGCATCTACATGCACCCGCTGGCTCTGCACACGCAGCTCCTGTACTACCAGAGGCTGGCGGCCGGCGCACCGGGGGAGGGCCCGCCTGGCGCTCCTCGCGGCCCGGACGAGCCTCTCTCCGGCGGCAGCGAGGGCGCCGCCACCGAACCCAGCTCACCGGACGGAAACAAGAAGCTCGTGCTCAAGCAAATATCCGAGCTGCTGGATCCTAAAGTTATAAAACGAGTGGAGGAGGCGAAGACTCCCGATACCACAAAAGCGAAGAGGGCGTCGCCGAATCCCGGGCAGGGGCCGGTGAAGCGGAAGAGATCGGCCATCTTCATTCCGCCCATTCCCACGAGGACTTCCTCCACGCCCACCACGGAGGTCAGCATATGCAAGTTCAAGTTCACCGGCGGCTCCAAGCCCTCGCTGCAGGAGAAGAAGATGCTGTCGGTGGACTCCGGCGGCAACTTCCGCTACTACAGCGGCACCGGCGCCAAGGGCGGCGCCCCGCGCTGCGCCCTCCCCAGCGAGCCCCCGCCGGAGCCCGCGCCGCCCCTCGAGCCGGACACCCCGCCCGCCGCCTCCCTCGGCAAGGACGACCTCCAGAAGAAGAAGAGAAAGTCTCGGAAGACTCTGCAGAGAGAGAAGCTCGAGCAGACTTTTAAAGAGAAGGGCTTCTTGATCCAGACGCAGCAGCTGCAGTCGGCGGAGGGCGCCACCTACTGCAAGTTCCGGCAGCTGCGCAAGTTCACGCGGTACCTCTTCCGCAGCTGGAAAGACTACCTGCCAGGAGAACTGGACGACCGGCCGCCGGAGGACGCGCCCGACACACCCCCGACACCACACCCCGCGCCCGGACTCGCCGAGTGGGGATGAGGGTTGTACATTCAGTGTAGTGCTAGACGTGAAGGAAGACGTGTGTGTGTGTGTGTACAGAGAGGTCGGAGGCCGCTGAATGCATTTATAGCATAGACACGGAGACAGGGAGAGTTGTTATGTACTTATAGATATCGTCGTCCGTCCATTTGTGTGTCATGTTGTGTGTGTGTGTGTTTGTGTGTGCGAGACTGCGGCGGGAGATCATACATACAATGTTCAAGACGAGGTTAAGTTAATTAAAGTTATATAATTTGAATGAAGTAAACTGCAGAGAACAGTAACACAACTGACTGATAAATAAATATCGTCGGGTAGTTTTCTAGTTTATGACTGTTTTATATTATAGTACATATTATTATTTAAATTGTTTTTTTATTAATGAGTTCTGTTGTTGGCTAACATATAATTTGTGTGATACTAACGAGTACTGAGCTCTCCCAGGTGATGATAATATCAAACAATAAGCAACGTCAGCAGACCTGCGAGTGAGATGTACAAGTGTGGTCAGCTGATGTCAAAGCGCGAGTACAAATAATTTAGGATGTGAACACGTGTGTGTGTAGAGACGAGGAGGAGGAGGAGGAGGAGATCAATTCACTGAGTTATTTATTGTAATATAATTAAGAGATGGAGAGATGCGCAACTTTCATATTCAACAGCTAACTTTGTTTTGTGTAAGATAAATATATTTGTAAGCTTGTACATGATGTGTGCATACAGAGCGAGTCTGTCTAGTCATTACTTTAAGAATAATATATTGTTGTTATTCAACTTGTACAGATATTTAATTATTGTTCTTAGTTTTTAAAATAAAAACACTTTTGTATTTTATAAAACTTTATTTAAAAAAAAAAGAAAAAACTCAATGATTCTGTGATTTCAAAGAGAAACAAATGCAATTAAAGAGGAATGTAAACGTGCCAATAAACATTTTTAACAAATTAAACAGTATTTGATTCAACTTCACAAACAAAACAGTAAACATTGTTTAACTTCAATATAAACAGCATCACTAAACAAAGTTGTATACGAAAACAGTGATAAATGCAAAAAATAAAAGATTCCAGAGAGAAATACAAACAAGAAGCAGAGGAACGACACTCGCATAGTGTTATTGTTCCCTCCGACAACTTCGTGTAAATATAATCAAAAACCAGCAAAATTGTGCAAAATGTACCAACAACCGACTAATCTAAGTCAAATATCCTTACTTAGCTAAGTTATAAATGTTTCCAAAGTTTGTGCTTAGTGTACGCTGAAGGCACTCCTTACCTAAATACAATATACTTTTCTCTTATAAAAATATATAAATACATCTTTTTTCTTAGGATTGTGATTTACAACCGACAACATACGTGAGATGCGACGGAGATTACACAGCATCTCTGCTCACTGCAGTAACATCTTCTTGTACTCAATATTGTTGTGTATCTTGTGCAGTACAGTTCAGTCATTTGCTAAATAATTTGGAATGTGACCTCGCACTCGGAATGTACTCAATTATCAACCAATTACATATTTAAATGTTACGTAACATTAACTCTCAGTATATATATATAAAGGAAAACACAATTCCGTGCTGATTAAGTTTGTTAGTAAGAGAGTTTGCAGAATTACAAAACATTGATGTTAATTTTATCACAAATAGATTAACACTCGACGTGACATTACTCATTCCATTGTCACGAGGCAGGTTTTGTTTTGACAACACGATATGTTGAATGGAAGACGAGAGTGCGCTGGGGGAGGAGGTGAGGGAGGGTGAGGGAGGGTGAGAGAGGAGGTGGCTAGGCGTCGAGCAGGGACTTGGCGGCGGCGGCGATGTGCGGCGCGGAGATGGCGAACATGTCGAGGAGGGCGGCGGGAGGGCCGGAGCGCGGAACTCCCGACACGAACAGGTGCTTCACCACCACGTCCCGCTCCAGCGCCAGCGCCGACAGCACAGCCTCGCCCACACCTCCTGCACATACACACACACACATTCAGATCTCTCGGAACAATTGTGTACACATTATACAGAAAGTTACATTTGCTATTTGAGACAAACACAAGTCGGTCTGTGCGAGTGCTACTGACCGCGGAGGTCGACGGCGACCGCGCGAGTACGACACACTGTTGCTGTCGCATCCTTGTAGCGGAGTGCACTACTGGAGTGCGCTCACCGGATACAATGATGCAGTTCACTCACAGAACACACAAAGATAGCGGAGCTGCAGTATGTAAATGTACAGACCGGCCTGGTAGTGATCCTCCACCACGAGGACGCGTCCCCCGACAGCGCGCGCGTGCTGCAACACCGCCGCCTTGTCCAGCGGCTTCACTGTGAACGGGTCCAGCACACGCGCCTCGACACCTGCAGACACACGCTTATACTACACAAGCACTCGCCCGCGACTTTGTCCGCGCACAATTAAATAAATCTAACCTTTAACATTTTTGGACAATGTGCCCTCCAAATAGTATAAGAATTTCTTAAATCGTTTCAATAATAACAGAACATATTCAATGCAAACAATAAAATCTTTCCTTTTTAATATTAGTATAGATTTCTAAGTAAGCGAATTCCTGCTTTAAAACTTTTATCTATTCTCAATTAATGAAATGTAATTGTTGAAAGTGTAATATATCAGTGCGTGGACAGCTGCATACCCTGCTGGTGCAGCGTGGTGGCGGCGGTGAGGGCCTCGTGCAGCGTCACTCCGGCGCCGATCAGCAGCACGCGGTCGCTGGAGCTCTGCCTCACCACCTTCGCCTGACCCACCTGACAGTACACATAACTCAGTAACATTCTCTATATTCATACGTTACAAAATAATCTTTATCTAATACGTTAGATTTAGAAATAGGGTGGAGAATAAAGTAAATGTTAAACACTGAAAGATACAGAAAGTTACGTTGTCCACCAGTGAGCATTGAGAGACATGTTGAGTACCTTGAAGACTTCATCATTGTTGTATATGACGGGGGTGTTGGGTCGCGAGGTGCGCAGGTAGCAGATGCCGCGCGTGTTGGCCGCCAGCTCCACCGCGCGCTCAGTCGACACGGCGTCACTGTATGTACATACACATACATCTCAACTAAACACTACATTTGTCGGTGTACAGGGCGGAGTGGTGTAGGGGGAGGTGATACTGACGAGGGGTAGAAGACGGTGGCGGTGGGGATGGTGCGGAAGAGGGCGAGGTCCTCGAGTCCCATCTGCGAGGGTCCGTCCTCCCCGATGCTGACGCCGCAGTGCGAGCCCGCCAGATTGATGTTGGACTGGCTGATGGCGCCCATGCGGATCTGAACACGACATGGACAACATTCAATACATCTATTTATTGCAATATTAAAAAAGTATAGGAGGTGTAGGAGGTGGGGGAGGTGTAGGAGGTGCGGGAGATGACCTGGTCGAAGGCGCGTGTGAAGAAGGCGGCGAAGGTGGAGGCGAAGGCGATGACGCGGTCGCGGCAGGCGGCGCCGGTCGCCACACCCACCAGGTTCTGCTCCGCTATGAAGCACTCGATGTACCTGCAGGTTGTGCATTTAATATTAATTCCGTATATATTTTACAACTAAGTTAAGGACTTCAACAATAGTTTGAATTTAGCGCCATCTATTATCACATTTAGGTAAATAGAAAGAGAAAATGTAAACATAAGCTCACCTCTCGGGGTATGCGTTGCGCAACTTGTCGCTGAAGGTGGAGTTCTTGGTGTCGCCGTCCAGCGCGATCACCCTGACACACAGACACACGGACACACGTGTTACATAACATACATTTTTTTATATCATAAGGTGGCAAACGAGCGAGCGACCACCTGAAGTCGCTAAATTAGCGAAGTGACCGTTGCCCATAGACATACGTAATTGCATATGCGTTGCCTACCTTTAATCGACGGAGGAGAGGATGCACAGAAAGATAATATTTTCCCTTTCCATGCATCCTGTCATCCGGAAAATCCACTTCCACTTCCCATCCTTTCCTTATAAGAAAAAGAGTGGGAAGGGAAAGAGGAGTAAATTAGGCCTCCGGGACGCACACTCATCAGACTGTACGCGGAATTACTTCCACTTGAGGCGTGTCTTCTGTGTGGTGGTGGTATTTCACCGGGCGGGTCGGGTCAATACGTGCGAATATGTTAAAGCTCGCTCTACCACTGTTAACAAAACATACATACAACATATGTAGAATGTGCGAGTGCTACTGACCACGGCGGACGATGGTGTCCGCGTGAGTACGACACACGGTCAATGTCGCACACAGCTTCAGAACACACACCAACTAAGTGTGTTTCTAAATAGCTTGCGTGCGAACAATCTTATACGAACATTTTTGTTCTTATGTTAATTCACAGGAAATTCATTTGTACTAGACTATATTTATTACTTCATTTTTTTAATTATATGAAGACAAAATCTTGGGAAACAACTACTAATGCGAAGGATAATCAAAAAGGCATAACATGTGTATGTGCACCTCATGTTGGTGTCGGCGATCTTCTTGAGGGCGGTGCCGTACGCGAGGCGGGTGGCGATCAGGTCACCCTTCTTGTAGTTGGGGGGTGCGGAGAGCGACACGTCCGCCAGGTGGACGCGCGGGGCCTCCGCCAGGGGAGCGCGCGCCTTCAGCTGCGGGGCCTGGCTCTTCATCTGGGACTGCAGGTGCTGCAACGACCACCCGACGTTCATACGTTTTCTTGTGAGGAAACGATGAGAGTGGAGAGTTGAGTTGCGCGTTGCGTCACCTTGATGATCTTGTCCCCCTCTGCGCCGAGGGCCTTGCCGTGCCAGTTGTCCTTGTCCTCGATGCCGGGGAAGCCCCTGCCCTTGTAGGTCTTGGCGAGCAGGGCCGTGGGTGTGCCGCTGACCGCCGCCGCCTCGTCGAACGCCTTCACCAGCTCCGACACGTCGTGCCCGTCCACCACCATCGTGTGCAGACCGAACGCCTTCAGCCGCGCCGCGTACACCTCCATCTGTTGCGTATTACTTGTAAACAATTTATTTCATAATAAATCTTATGATCGTAACGGTCAACAAGAAAAATTATTTTAATAGTTCCCATAATTGTAAACAAATTTTACTAATGTGTGTTAATTGTGAGCTACAAGTCTGTATCGTGGGTGTGTTAGGTTTTTTAATATTCAAATGTTAACACGTTCACTGCCGGCGACGCGCCTGACGCGTTGTTTCGTATAAAAAAATGATAGTTTTATTGAATGTGTTAATATAAAGTTAGAGTTGAGGACAAGATGTAATCAGCACGTGTCAGAGGTGAGGGCTGACTGCGACCACTCTGTTATCAGAGCGCGGCGGCTGACAGTTGCATAACTCTTGTATTATCATCATCATCATCATCATCTGTTGACACATGTCACCATCGCGCGGGAAAAAACAACATATGTGTAGTAAACAATTAATTTCATTTCATTGAAAATTGTTTTTTCTCTAGATTATTATGACAGCAGTTGTTGTGTGCTTTCATAAAGATGTCACATGAGAGGTAGATGTATGATGTAAGTGGTGTTAGTGTTGGTGGTGACCTGGTGCTGCAGCGAGGTGGGCTCGGACTGTCCGAGGCGGTTGACGTCGAAGATGACGACCAGGTTGTCCAGCTTGTAGTGGGAGGCGAAGTGCAGAGACTCCCACACGCTGCCCTCCGCCGCCTCCCCGTCGCCCACCAGGCAGTACACCCTTTCAAAACAATACAACAAATTAATGAAATGTCACCGTAAGTTTGAAAACATCGACTGTTTGTAATGTGAGTCAGTTTGTTGACTGTCGGTAGCTAATTAACCTGTAGGGCGCCTGGTCGAAGTACTTGCCGACGTAAGCCATGCCGGCGGCGACGGCGAGGCCCTGGCCCAGCGAGCCGGTGCCCACGTCCACGAAGCTGAGGCGCGGCGTGGGGTGCCCCTCCAGGTCGGAGTCCAGCTTGCGCAGGTTGGAGAGCTCCGACACCGGGAACAGTCCCGCCTCCGCCCACGCCGCGTACAGAATAGGCGCAGCGTGACCCTGCACCGAGATCATACTCACAGCATTGCGTTAAGTGGTAACATAGTTAGATGATATAAAAAAAAAAATTATCGACCTCAAATGTATTGTTTAAAACATTGTTCTTTAAACTTACAGATAATGAAGAAAATCGTTCGTTATTGAAATTATATGTTTAATAAAAACATTCGACTTTATATTTATAAGATAAGAGAGCGAGATGGAAGAACGCAACATCAAGATATCACGTGAGTTTATGAATCAGAGATAGTTAAAAAAAAATCCATATCGCGTGCTTCTTCTTTAACAAATTTCCATTTGGTATGAGCATTACTTATTTGACTATTGTATATTATTAAATGTATATAGCGAATAGTTGCTACGTCCGTGTGTTTCCGATGCATCGTAGACCTTGCGTGATTAGATAAGGACGTTGATGCGGTGTCGCCGGCAGACTACATCGTCTGAGGTACGATCATACCTAACTCATTAATAACACAGTAATGCAACATCATTAAACACTAAGGAACAAGATAATTAAATATGAATATGGATGTAATGCAAATTAAAGTTCAATTTGTTGATATTTACTCAAGGATAATGATAAATGGAACAAACAAAAAACAAGTTGATAAACAATTTCGTATAATTTACATGTTTTTTTCCATGTTAAAATGAGTTGTATCAATATATTTTGTACAATTTAATATTGAATGAATGCGTAAAGCTTGTCATAGGGAAGAAGGACAGAGTTCATGTGACAGAGAATCAGGGGCCTTACCTTTGAGAGTATGAATCGGTCAGCGGAGGGGTCGCGGGGCGCGGAGACCTTGTAGCGCATGGTGTGGAAGAACAACACAGACATTATCTCTGCCATCGACGCACATGATGTCGGATGTCTGCAACAATACACACGCATACAAACATACGAACAACCACAAATTACTTGGTCATATCAAAAGTATAGCAATTATTATCACGGCCAATTAAATTTTTGCCTGCTTTCCGGAAGCGTGATTTCCTCTTTCCCTTTCGACCATTTTCTTGGTTTCTCCAATGGAGAAGGACACGCATAAAAAGGGGAAATATTCTCTTTCTGTGCGTGTCCTTCTCTGTTGTGTAAAGGTAGGCAACGAATTTGCAATTTCAGATGTCTATGGACAGCGGTCGCCTATTCCGGAGAATTCAGCTCGCCGCTTGCACGTTTGTCGCATTATATTTGAAAATAAAAAAATCGGATTTAAAAATCGAATGCTTTTTTTTAATCAGATTGAAAAATGATTAGAAAAAACAAACAAGATTTAAAAAAAAAACAAAAACGTAATCATATCGTAAGTTTTGTAAAGTTACATAAAGATTTATATTGTGTTGTGTAATGATTATCTAATTCTAATACAAACAGAGTCATGTTATCTCGTATTCCATTACGTCATCCGGCACGGCACGGCACGACACGACACGACACAGCTTAGAACATTGACTTATTAATGTAATCAATGATTGCGGATAAGACGACTTCATTCTGATTTTATTAATAGACAAGTGAAGTACAGATTTGGTAATAGTATATAGATTTTACATAACGTGACTCAGTAAATATATGTGCATTCAATAAATCAACTGTATCTTACCTGCTACTTAAGACATTATTTACATTTATGAGCTACAATATTCAACTAAAATCTAAGATAAATAATTTCCTGCAGTTGGAAAGTGGCAAGACAAATAAATGTCAGCCTTAACAGATTCTTTATTGTTATATTATTCGGTTTGGTACCTAACAATGGGTGTTATCCGACGACGCACAATATCGTATGTCTAAGGTCAGCAGGTCGAAAACGACACCAAAGCATCTCCTAACTTAGAAGCTGCTGTAAATTTAGAACTACATCTTCATAACAGTATACAAAGTTCCAAACAGGTGTTCAAATCTTTAGATTTCACACACCATTTTATTACGGTCAGGTTCCATGGCAATACACACATACAATAAAAATATTGTTATTTTTTTTCAAGAAATGTGAGCAAGTTTTATGTTTCAGCAATGAAAATCCTTGATGACAAGCAGACACTAGCTTAGTAAAAACCGGTTTGATACAAAGAATAGTTATTAGATACTCTGAATATACGCTCTGATGATTTTTCATAATGACAAACAAGTCTGTCCAGACAATATACATTGTACCTACTTTCTATGTCACCTGAACTGGTTAGCAAGGTTTTGTTTGACTGCTACTGACCGCATGCGACAAGAAAATTCGCTGCGAGTACGACAGACAAATTATGTTTGCACCAACATGTATATCAGTAGCCATAGGGTCACCGTAAACTAATGTTGGTGCATTACAAAGTAAAAATCAATTAGCATTCCTATTAGAAGCAAATAGAATACACTGACCAAAAAATTCCATAATTATGTTTGTTTTTTATGACTAACTGCTACGTAAACAATTACTTTAATAGTTCAATGCAAGCATCGAACAATATTTGGTCGAAGCATTATATGTTACCTCATAATTATAACCTTGATATAAAATTTTTATATTTTAACAAGACAAATAAGCGGGAGAGAGCAAAAAGCAATTAGTATAAAAATCTTTTATCACAAAATAGCACTCTTCAATGAATCTATTTTTTTTATTTATGATATTTTATACATTGAATATATTTAAACATAATTTTCAATTGATATAAAAGTAGTATTAAAACACATTGTTTTCTGTCTCTACAGGATTACAATAAGTTTTTGTTAAGATGCTTGGCTATGTGAATTAAATCAGGAGTTAGTAAATAAGTTCATTCAACATCAGGGTAAAACAAGTATGTAATATGTTATATTTACTAAGAATCTTCCTTCCTTATAACTTTTGTTATTTGTTACTTAAAGACAAATGACGGAAATTCTACCAAGTTTTAAGCATTTTTTATGTTTTAAAAACAAAAACAAGAAAATGTAAAAGGCCTGTAATTTTTAGTTTTGTAACATAGTGAAGTCAGCCTCTCAAGCCATAATTATTGAGTCTGAGTAAAAACTCTGAAGTGTCAGGACAAATAAAACATTTGCCGTTAATAAAAATACAGGGGGGTGGGGCATATATTGGAAAGTGCAATATTTGTGCAGACTTATACTTTAATTATCCTTTATATACTCTTCTTTAAAGTTAATATAACAGTATTTAAGTAAAATTTCTACCAAAATATATAACATTTCAAGTGGTATTTATCATGATTTTATAGAAAACTTTGTTACAATGGTGACCCATGTGGTTCAGAATTTAAATTTCAAAATAGTCGACCTAAGCACCTCAATGCATAATGCATCTAGACGCAAATTTTCGACTGGTTTATGGAGACGACAAATTACCGTATTGTTTTTCTGATCATTCGAGTCTATCAATCTAGTGTTAGACAGGTCAAGGAAAACTATAATACAGCAGGCATTAGAGCAGCGTGTAAAGTTCATTCGTGCAATGACCTACCATAACCTTCAAAGTAAATTATAATTACAAAAAAATATGCGACAGTCATTATTAACATATCAAATTAACCATTAAAACAATATTACTTGCTCATTAAAAACTTACTAGCCATGCTTATTTCTAACCTTCATAAGACCTTCATGAATCTGCAAATGATAACCTCAAATTACAAACATACCCTGATTTGGAAGCATTTGTTGCGACGATACTGTCGATTCTAAGCTTGTTGGCCATATCCTTCAGCGCCTGAATGTCTACATTTTTGTCGCCCTTCATTTTGAATAATCTTTTTTAAAAGTGTTAACTAATTATAAACAGCACGTTAACGCACACCGCGGCCGGTCACGCTACTCACTGGAAATTTTTACCGGCCGGCCGATTTAAACAGAAACGCTGAGTCGCGCTCAGTTGTGAATGAAGGTGGTTATTCACGCTGCTGATACGTCAACGTCAAAGAAATGTCACAGAAAATGACGTTTCAAAAACTTTTAAGAAAATCGATTTTTGCCCAATTGATTTTTTTACGATTTTTGCCCAGTCGACAATTTTTAATTATGTTTTTAATTACATTTCTTATGCTCCGTAGAAACATTTGAAAATGTATGATTCATGTTCAGGCTTTTGTTAATAATTCGCCCGTTACATCTTTAAATTTTAAACAGTTCACTTAATGTTTAATTTTATACAAGGCTCTTACTTTGCTTAAAATTATTTCCCACTCTGCTTAGGTTAAGAAAATGGTTGAATGATTGATTAGCTGGCCAGCAAACGAGGCAGGCGACCAGTGTTACTGCCAGCCGGTCGCTTTACAGCAAAAAGACAATCCACGAAGTTTGCCGCGCAAATACTTGCAGGCCTGCTTGCTTGCTTTTTACTAACTTTACTAAACGTGTTAATACCATATCCCTAATATTTATATGTTAATCTGAAACATAATTTGGAAAATAATTTATTTCTTCCAGAAAATACAATAGAGATTTATTGTTCAATGACGACATCTTTGATTTTCAAAGATGTATGAAAGAATGATGGAAAGGCATGTTTTATTCTTAACTTTTAACTATTAAATTCTTTATTTTTATAAATCTACATCAAGTAAGATCTTTCACTAAAATGTACGTAAAAGGTCCGATAAGAACAAGAAAACGTTTTGTTAAAATACGACGTACGGTCAAACATAAAACGTGTCTCGATGGCTTTTGTTGTGTCAACTCTGTAGAACGAAAAGGAAAATCATATTAGCAGATATAACTCTGTTGCAAAATGTACGTAATATCAGCAAACGACGCGATCAAACGCTCCCTGATATTGAAATGATAAGCACGAGGAGCTATCGCTCCCGGACGTGTCATACAGACGGACAAACTTGTAACAAACTACGACACAGGCGGAATTAAACCTTACAGTACTATCTATAGATTCTTTTCTATTTTTCTGGCTTTCTTGTATAACATTGTGAGGGATACGATAAAACGAGGGTGGCTATTGTAAATCGCGCTGACGAATCATAGCTGGACCTCCTCGCCTCACCTGACGCGGTTGCCACAATGTGGACATGGCGTTACGATATTTATTTAATCCACATTAGCTTCATTCAGCTTCAATCAAAAAACTATTTTACGCAAACGTTGCTTATAAAAACATATCATTAGCCTTAGCTAAAAAAGAAAAACCGGTAGATGCAGGCTTTTAGGGCAATTGATATAAATTGATTAACTTAATCAAAATATATAATTTCAAAGTGAAACCGTTTCAGAATTGTCTTTTTTAAAACATATTTTGTTTTTTTTTTTAAGTTATATGCTCATTATTTAAATTACATTGATAAAACTGTTTCCAGAAAATGACTATTTATTTAATTTTGATGAGAAACAATCGAAAATTCGGAATCGATTAGTCGTGTCATCGTTTGGCCGTTCGTGTCCGTTGCCTTTGCCTATTCTACGTCATAAAGGCGCGCCAACAACGACACGGCCGGATGAGGCAAAAACAGCGCTGGATAAATAAATATAAAACACAAAAACAATAAAACTCTTGTATACGGCCCGGAAAATAGCTACGCCGCGCCGCGCTGGGGGCAATAAGGGTTACCATCATTTTTATCGAATTCATCCTATTTGTTAAACTTTGCTATTTAATTTTTTTTAAGCAAAATAATGGGTAAAAAAATAGAACAATTGTTAGACCTTGTAACACGCATATGTAATGATATTCATTTATAAATTAAGACAAGAGTTTTCTTTTAATGTCTTCACGGATATTTTTACGCGACGTTTCGTCTCTGACTAGTTGGGCTAGTCCCAGTCCCAATACAACTGTGGAGGTGCGGGCACTGGGCACTGGGTACTATGGGGCGCGGGGTGCGGGGTGCAGGTTGCGGGGCGCGGTTCAGTCGGGATGTTCTGTTTTCAAATTCAATTGCGCGCTGTCCCGGGGCTCGGGGCTGGGGGCTCGGGGCTCGGGGCTCGAGGCTGGGGGCGATCTTTCTCTTTGCGATTCCGAATTGAATATCAATCCGCTGACCGGACGGGACGTAGGACATATGTGGATGAGACATGCACTGATAAATATTGTTTGTTTGTAAACATTTATATGTAGTATGACGTAAATATTGTAGCACACTTATTGTAGCATATGAAGCAATTAAGAGAATGTCAGCTAAAGATGGCAAGAGTTAAGATTAGGAATGAGAAGAACCGGAACTTGGTCAAGCGTTAACTCATCCAATGTAAAAAAAAACTTATTATATACGATAAAGTAGTTAATATCAATTAACAGAGGAGTGTTATTAAAGTCAGATCCAGTTAAAATGCCAGGTATATCCGTGTGTCGACGTCTCTCTTGACGCCGCGAAATTGTTAAAGACGTTCTTTAACTGCACAAGTGTTGTTTTGCAATTGAACGATACCGCCGATGCTGCAATTGATAGCTCGCTTTCTTTTCCAAGTTCTCAGCTATGTGTAATTATATTAGTAGGTGCACCTACATGATGTTATGCAAAATATCGCACGCATTATGAAAATCAAACAGACATCGATTCTCTTCACCAATATTTTAACTCGAAAAGAATAAGTAGTATCATAATAATTATTATACAAAAACATTCTTTATCAAATACTTTAATAAATAAATAAATTAAAATAATTATATTAATTAGCGGCAACGCTGATTAAAGAAACACCTTATTAATTTGTTTATTAGCAGTTTTTGTTCAAGCGATACATTACAATGAGGTCCCGGGGAGGTCGCGTTGCGTTCAGTTAACAGTAAACGCAATAATATCGATAACGAGGCATTAATTTGCGGGCATCCATCACGCGTGTAATCCTAACGTGATTACAACGTGTTTGTTGTCACGTCGCCGGCGTGACGCCGGCGTGACGCCGCGTGTTAGCCGCGTGCCGCCGCGTGGTGCCGCGTGGTGCCGCGTGCCGCCGCCCGCCGCCGCCCGCTCTTAATCAAGCGAGGGCTTATTGTTGATGTGTTGGTAATGCAAACAACATCAAAATGTAATAACTCTCGATTGTACCATTCTTCATTTGTTATTGCGCATCGCTGACGTCACCGCTCAGTATTAAAGCCCTTCACACGATCGCTTACGTGTTTGTACAGCTTTGGTATCTCGTTTAAAATGATACCCCTACGATATGACTCTACTAACCACTTTGTTACATATACGGTATCTAGCGATTGGTGTAAGGTGAACAATGTTAAATAAGTTCTGTTCTATCTCGACGTTTACTTTCCAAACAGTAGCTATACTGTACTACTTACCTGTTCTATTGTTCTATCCTCGTGTGAAACTATCACAAGGCATTCGACAAGGTAAGGCAGGAAGCTTTCATACGTACTCACGCAGTATACAGCCGTAAGAATGGTTAAGCTGATGGTGTAGTGAACGGGCGCAGGGCGCAGGGCGGGCTTACACTTTGTAGGCTAGTACAGTACAGGCCTCATCAATTCACTATCACTACCAACAGTATCTATTTTGTACACTTGATAACACAATTCAAATCATGAATGCTGATTAAACATCAAAATTATAAATCACAAAAACTTACTAGTTAGAGTCCAGAATGTGTGGGTAATTGTGTTTGGTATAATATTATGAAATGTTTCATTTGATTACATAACTATAACGACAATAACACAATACTAGACTATTATCTATTTAACACGTTACATTTCAGATATTTTAGAAATCCTTTTGAATTATATTGCACTATGACCCTTCTAAAAATAAAGGTCAACTTAAAAGATAATTTGTTTTGGTCGCGACAGTACCGAAATATTCAAATAAGTAGTGAAGTGGAAATAACAGAAGGGTGTAGTTGCAAAAACTTGTCACAACTTGCGCCTCGCCTGTCGCCTGTCGACTCCGACACTTGTAACTTAGCAACTTACACAACAGGAATTAAGTTACTCGCTCGCACGTGTAATTTATTACTTTACTATTTAAATGTTTAATTAAGTAATAGCTTTACGCACGTCTTAAACTCTCAAGATACTTGTGAAGTATTTACGAAGTGCCTAAATGGTACACTATATCTTTTAAGACCATCACTTATAGTGTGCGTTCAATTTCGTTGCATATGTTTGTCATATTATCTTACTAATATCATAAATGCGAAAGTTATGATGGATGCATGGATGGATGTTTGTTTAACGGTGTCTCCGTAACGGTTCAATGGATTTTGATGCAATTTTGCACAGATTTTGTCTAGAAGAACACATAGGCTATTTACAATGTTTTTTAATACAGCGTAGACATCCAATCTAGTGTAAACTATGAATGTCAGGATACTAACGTGAGTTTTTTTAATTCCCAAAACAAACAAAGTCTCAGGGGACTGGGAGTAATGTAATAAGTTTTTGAACCGTTCTGTTCAAAGCAAGCAATATATTGGTTGATTCATATGTACTGCTACTCCGGCTTTTATTGTCCGCGGTATTGTAAAGTCGGTGTTGCCACATTGGCCACGTTACTGCTTTCTTGATGGCTTATAAAAGTAACGCAAACAAGTACAGGTGCAAAATTAACCCCCTGCGCGCCGGCGGCCATCGGGTGGTAGGTGCGGGTTACGGCCGCAAGGCACATAGCCAGTTATGACTTGTATTATTATAACTTGCGGACACAGAACTTGTATCAATGGAAGTGACAGCTAGTGTCATATAATTTTCTTCTGTAGGCAACAGTCACTTTTGTTAATGTAAGGTTTGCATTAATTATAAGTGCTGTTCGTTTTATTTTCATCAATATTTTCGATGTATTCTTAGAACAACGCTAAATACTTTTCATTTGTTTACTAACAAAAGGAAGGACGATTTAAAAAAGGCAAGAATCATGACAAATTTAAGTGTGTATTCCTAGATTTATCATTTTAAAAACGTTATAATTTTGTGTAAGCATGTCTT